ATATCAATCGGTACATTATGGCCTCATTCCTTTTTGCCCTATTTTCCCTCATATATATCAGACTTTTTTGCTTGGTTGTTTGACAAGGTTTTCTCTATGTCAACCACTGCAGGCTGTTGGGCAGCCTTATCCTCTACCTTCTGAATGGTAAATAAGGGACACTGCCCAAGTGGACAGACTAGTCTTTCTGGCAAGGGACAGGGCAAAAGCCATATGTGAAGCCAGAGTGTAGAGATGGACGGATGAAACCGGCAAGCATGAGGTTGATGAAGGAGAAACAGGGAGGGAGGAAGAGATAAGGGTAGTGTTAACTGGAAAGGCTGAAGTAAAGGGAACCAAGTCCGAGCCATCCAGAACAGCACTATCGGAAGTACTCAACACAGGGTGGATTGAATGATGAACATTATATGGGGAAGAAGATGTATGGGAAGAAAAACATCAGTATCAAGGTTCTTTCAGTCTTGGCTGAATGGATGGATATGGAACAGGAGACCAAGAAAGGGCGAGTTTGTATTTTGATGGGTGGCAAAAGCGACCAACTGAGGCATACCCAACTGAGAGCAGAGCCACACGAAGACCTGTGGATCAAGGGACCACTCCATGGGGAGAATCCTGTTGCGGCAAGATAACCGACCTACAACCAGATTGATGTGCACCCAGAAAAAGGCAAGCCTGCAGGTGAATCTGTTGGCTGTGTGCTCAATACAGAAGTTTTAATGATTTAAAACATAGGAACCACAGTCAAACTGTCAGAATGGATCATGACCTACTTGTCCTGAAGAATAGGAAGGAAATGATCCAAAGTCTGATGAACCACCAAAAGTTCCAGGAAATTGATATGAAACTTGACCTCATACCACCAACCAGATATTTCCCGAGCATCCAACAACACCCACAACCTGATAGAGATGCATCTGCAAAACAGGTGTAAATCTGGTCTGGGAGGTAGAAGAGGAACTCAAGCCACAGTGTTGTAAGCCAGGAAAAGTCTGTTTGCAGGATCCTACAAAGGGAAATAGGAGAATCCAGGGCATCTCTGGCAAGTTTTCATTGATTGTGTACAGCCCACTGAAGAAACATCATTTGGGCCTGACCCAGGGGAATAAGGGCTTTCAAGGACACCCAAGTCCCCAAAAGTGATAAAATCTTTCACGTGTGTAGAGTAGAAGAGGACTGTCCTTTTGAACTGATAGCTTCATGGGCCAAAGACAAACTGGAAATGGTTGGGCCTGACTGAAGTAAGAGTTGAATAAGACCCAAGTTGAACCAGATATTAACTCAGGGTCAATACAGACTTCTCTACTTTGACCAACCAACCGACATATGCAGTTTCTTGGAGAAGAAACAGAGTGTGACAGGAGGCTACTGCCCATTATAGAGCTAGAAGAATCCAGTTGTCAATATAATGATGTAACCAAAGCCACTGGGAGTGGATCTATCTGGCAAAAGCTTTGATCACCTGACAAGAAACATAGGAGGCCGAAGAAAGAGGCCAAACAGAAGAGCTCAGAATTGATAGACCCAATCCTAATGGACAAATTTAAGAAACTGACAAGATGCTGGAGATATGGGGACGTGGAGGTAGGCATTGGATGCATCAAACTTTGTCATCCAGAAACCTGGAGAAAATGGCCATCGAAGAGACAGAAACAACTCCATGGTGAAACGAAGAATGTCTAAAAATTGGTTCAGACTGGAAAGATTGATGATAAGTCACCAGTCCCCTGTCTTTTGGGGGACAAAAAACAACTAGGAATAGAAACCATGGCCAGGATTCTATAGCACTTTTGGAAAAAAGGTCCTGAACTACCTTTGACAGATGCTGGCAAGATAGATCCCTAGAGGAGGAAACAGGAAAAAAAGATAAGGGAGGAGGAGTGTAAAAATGAAGGGAAAGTCTTTCTGATAAGACTTGAAGCACCCACGGATTTGTGGTGAAAGTCCTTCAAACATGGACAAAATTATACAGCCTGGCTCCCACAGGTCCTGTAACTATCATATAATCATTGAAACAGTGTATGGCAAATGGACCAGCAATGAAAAATATGATGATATGACTCAGAAACTTGGGTAGAAGGTACTAGCAAGGAGATAGAAGACGAGTAATGGGAAACAGGAACAGGAGAAGATTGGGACAGATGAAAAATTAACTCAAGTATCCAGGTCCGACTCCCAAACGAACCTAACTGTTAAGAATCAAAAAAAAGATTTGAATCCCAATGATAGGCCAAAGCGTGAGCATCTAAAGCATGGATGGGGGGATGGACAAGGCATGCTAATACCCGAACGTAACTGCTCTGCAAAATGCTCAGCATGAACCTGGATATCAGGTGAGAGAGGAAACACAAAATATTCAGGAGAAGATATTTCATGTAACAAAGGAGGAGATGGTTCATACAACACAGGAGGTAAGGACAAAACGTAACAAATCTATTTCACCAAGTCCAGAAAATCTGATGAAGGTCTACTTGCATCAATCACATTTGCATGAAACTGCAGAGCAAACGAAGGGGTGGGAAAAGGCTGTATAAGTCTTAATCCTCCCATCCAGCATCCCTAGGGTAAGGGAGAACAGGTTGAGGGTCAGGAAAACCCCCAGCCTGCAAGAATGACTCCATTTCACAGCGAATGAGTGCCAAAATTTCTTCTGCCAATAAATTTGCACCTGTGGTCACAGCAATAGTGGTTGATCTAAGGTATTAGTAGCAGTTGAAGATGCTTTAACAATAAACTGCAAATTTATAATTTAATTTGAAATGGGTAAATAAACCAAGATAAAAAGTCTTGATAAACAAAAAAATTTCATGAAATAAATTCAACTCATATAGAACTGGTTTTAGACTACCAAAGGTGAAAGTTAAATACAACAAACCAAGTTTGAAAGTATGAACAAATTTAAGCAAAATTTGAAAACTAAAAGCATGGCAAGCAATAAGTCTAAACACCTGACTGCTAAATCGAGAAGTGAGGTTAGACTCTATAAGTCAAAGAGAGCTAGCTGTTCAAGGAGAGTGTATCACACTCCTATTGGTGGAGGGTTCTCACATGATTCTTTACATGCTACAGAGCAGCTGAACCACATTAAACACATGGGGGGCCAGTGGGAGTATTGAGGCTAGTGGCAAGTAAAAAATTTGAGCATATTGAGGGCAGTAATAATTGAGAAAAGCTCTAATGTGAGAGAAGGTAAGGTATCATATCAGAATCATATTTTAATGTTCAATTATAGCTAAAAACAAAAAAATTGTCAGTTCTCTGTTCAGTGTACATCTCCTTCTGTTAGTTCAGCTCTCCTCCAGCAATCCAAATATTGTTTTATTCTAGCATCTTTAGCAATTCATCAGATAAAAACACATTTTCTGAAGTCTTATATTCATATATCATCAATAGTTGATGAAATCGATAAAAATAAGACATCTGAGATAATAAATGCCATTTCAACTCATCAGGCAATACTCCTTTGATTAGAATCAATCATAACCAATTGTTAACCATCTTTATTTTAACATTACATATATAAATATATATATATTGCATAAAGGTTGCCAAATAAAACATTATTTCCTTCTTTTAACTACTATCATTCATGCTATTATAAGTTGTGAATCATATGGGAAATGTGAAGCTCACATTATGCTATCAAATTACATAACCCACGAGCTACTCTGAGTCCGAGATGCTCGCGTTCATTCCTCATTAAACATTTCTATTATATTATTATTTATTTTACCTAATCTAACCTTAACTAACCTAATGAGACCCTTAATTTTGCATTTTAGTTACTATTTAAAATAATAAATAAAGAATAAACATGAAAAACAAGAAATAAAGTACTTACCCAGGTCTTCTTTTTTTTTGCTGTTGACTGTCGGTGACTCTTAACCCTACTTTTATATATTAATGGTAGTAATGCACTAAATAATTTTTATTTCATTAAATAATGCACCATAGAATATACAATAATAACATGAAAAAGCAGACAATTTCCCCTAACTATAACAATTTGTCTGGCTTTCTAACTAAGCGACAAAAAACTTACAAATTCATTCAAGCTAGTGGTTATATTTCCCGTGGGAACAAAGCTTGTACTAACAGTACAAAACATTATACAATACATCATTTGATAGATGAAAACCTTGGCTTTCTATTGGTTATAGATAATATAGAATTAAACGTAAGAGAGAACTATTAATAAATTGTGAAAGAGAGGATGTGACAGGTGGGTGTGG